TTAATTTTAAAACATACTCCAAACCTATTAGTTTTACAAATAATAGAAACTAATTAAACCATTTAATTTTAAAACGAATAAAATTTACACCTTTTTTTTAATGTAGCAAAAATTTATGATAAAAATATTACATTAGACTAGAAACAATGTTAACTTCAATTTGTTGTTGTTTTCTGTTTTTTACTGCCACATTTCTTTTTATTTGCCAGAAAGACATTTAGCCAGGAGCACAGCAAGAGCTGTGGGACTTTGAGCGCAAAGGCATTGCCATGCTGGGAAATGTGTTTCCTTCTTAAGACATTACATTAGATTCAATTAAGACTTAAGTAATAGTTTGTGATTTTGTGTTTGGTTAATTAAATTTAAATTTATGTTTTATTAAATTACTTAAATAACAACTCTTTTTAAGTGGGGCAACAGGATACAAAATAAGAATTAACTGGACCATTAAACAGATAAACGGACTTTGTGGAAGCAAAAAGATAGACGTCACAAGTTATATAAAGTGGAGGGAGTGAGATTTTCTGTAAATGGCTTTTGAAAGTATTTCCAAAAAAGAAAAAGTATATCGGAGTTTAAAATTAATCTTTAACCATGTTTATCAAGGCGTCAGTCTTTTGAGCGGTTAAATTCACCATCACTGGATTATGTTCGTATTTTTTGTTTTTGTTTGCTACACAATTCTATATTTTCTTTTTTTCCAAAGGGAAGCATAGAGGCGGCGAAATAAATCTAAAGGGCATATGGGGAGGCCAATAGGTGTCTTGCAGTAATACCCATTTGTCCCCGCCACAACCCAACTACAAGCAGCTATTTCGGTAAAAAAAAGGTAAAACTAAAATTGGAATATATATTTTTTTGGTTTGTTGTTCTAGTGCATTCACAACAACTACATTTGACCACTACTTTCAGTCTCATATTGTAAACAAACTTTGTTTTCATTTTTTTTCTTCAGATAAATATACAAAAATTATTCTTAAAAATTACAATTAAATTAGTTAAATGTATTTAAAGTCCGTTTTCTGTTTAATTTCCTGTTTTTTTTGGAGTTGGTAAATAACAAACAACAAGGGGTTATTAGAAAGAGATTAAAAAAATGCCTTTAGTGCGAGTTTGTGTTTCGAGTATTTTTAATTTATCATAAAAAATAAATAAAATACAAAAATTATTAATTTCTTACAAAATTCGCTTATACAAATAATTGATATTAGGTTTTAATTGGATTTCAATTCGGTATGTGTACATAATTTTATATTATTTTGTGAATCAAAGCATATAGCAAATATAGAATATAAAAAAATGTTTAATTAATTTATTAGTGGTGTGTTGTGGTATAAAAAACTAATTATAATTAACTATCATACACTTAAAGTCAAAAGAGTATGTCTTTTTACGATCCGCCTTACATATGTAGTATTAAAAGAGGTAGGAAAAATATCCAACAACTTCTTTAAGATATATGCTCTGTTCCAGAACCTGCAAGAATCTATTAGTTTTGCAATTTTTTTTCAATATCACAAAGGAAAAATCGGTTATCATTGCAGAAACTTTTACATTCTTGCATTTATGGAACAGACCAATATTTAGTAAGCTATGTATGTGTGTGGTCATATTTTAAGACTAGGACAAATTGTACTTTCAATCTTAATGGTCATATACGAAGAAGTAAAATATATTTCCAATTATCAATAAGTTTATATAATCGATGTGAGGGCAAAGACAAAAAAGGGCAAACTTGCAAAAATCTTTGCCTGAATTGGAAGGATGTCTTTCAGACACCGCCATAGCCCGAAATTCCTTTCGAAATCGTTTCGGAAGGGGCCCAACCGACAAAATAAGAATTTCAAGCAAAATTGGCTAAAAATATTCCATTTTCGAACTGTCCATGGGCCCCGACCCTGGCAACGTCGTGGCTTTAAAATGTCTGAACATGACTTTGACTGTTTTGATTTTCACCCTGGCAACGTCGGTGCTTTAAGATGTCTGAACATGACTTTTGACTTTCAGCTGCAGTTAAGGAGGAAAGGCACAAAAGCTGATAAAATGCCTACTGAAAAGGGCTTCAAAATGTGAATGAAAAAATACCAGGTCACCCATATCTTTCTTCTACTTTTGATACTTTCTTTAGATCTCGAAAATCTCATAGGATCCATCAAAAGTATTTTTAATTATCTACCCAGTGATCTAGACGGACAAACAAGAGCTTCTAAATATGTCGCTTGAAAACTGTCTAGGGGATGACAGTCGCGGTTAAAGAACGACAGATGCATTGGTATGATTGGAATGGTGGCGTAGCCTCAACTACCTGTCATATACCGAGATTTATTCTTTCAACTCTATAGCGAAATCATCTTTAGATTTACTATGACCCATCCAGCATAAATATGAAATGGTTCCTTCCACAGGAAATTTGACCGACAAAAATGATAATTTCAAGCACAGTTGACTAAAAATATCTTAAAATTTTCTATTTTCCGCGCCCCTGGACCCTTTTAATTTTCAGCTGCAAAAAACGGGGGAAGGGCACAAAAGCTGATAAAATGCCTGCCTTTGATACTCTTTAGATTTTGAAAATCCCACCGGTTCCATTAAAAGTATTTTAAATTATCTACCAAGAGATCTAGACGGACAAACAAAAGCTTCTACAGGGTGAGATGAAAAACTGCAATCAACTTCAGACTGCTGTCATTTCTAAGCCACTCATCCGACAGCTGTTAATATTATTCCAGTGACAGCTCATTATATTGTTTACAAGCATAAAAAAGCATTTTGGTGAGATTTTTCAAAAAAAAAAAAAGAAGTTATTCGTGATGTAATTCGAGCGTGATAGTGTGATTTCTTTATATTTGGCTGGAAAACCATAAGTGGCTATCATTAGAGCATTCCAGCATTTAAATGTGAATAAATCTTTTGTGTCTCGTACTCTCGTACCACCGCTCGTTACCGTGATACGCCCCCGACGTCAAGGAAGTGGACGGAAGAAAACAGCCACATCAGCAGGAATGGTTCGAAAAGTAAAGAAACGACTTGATCGAAGCCCGAGTCGCAGTGGCCGAAAAATGGCTCGTGAGCTGAACGTATCGCAATATACCATTCGGAAAATTTTGAAAAATGAGGAGCTTGGGGAAAAGCCATTGAAATTCCAAAAAGTGCAAGAACTTACACCGCAACAGAAAGAAAATAGACTCAAAAGAGCTAACGAGTGGATTCGCTTGGCCGAAAGTGGTGAACTGGCATATTTGGTTTCTCCGTCGCCGATGAGAAAACATTCGTTGTCCAGCAGTTTGTAAACAAACAAAATGATCGTGTTTACTTGCCAATGAGGTCAGCTGAAAATGTGCACCTACGGTTGGCCACCGGAGCTCATGCGCCGGCAATGGTGATGGTGTGGGCCGCCATAACAGCCGATGTTCGCTCTCCACTCGTATTGAGCGACAGTGGCATCAGAATAAATGCCGAATATTTTTGCGAAAATATTCTGAAGAGTGTATCAAAGACTCGAGCTACGTAAAGATATTGGTCGCAGACCTTGGACATTCCAACAGGACTCATTACCATCGCACTCAGCACGCCCCACCCAAGAATGGTTAAAAAATGAGGTTCCTCGTTTCATTTCCAGCACACAATGGCCATCAAAATCTCCGGATACCAATCCGTTGGACTATTGTGTCTGGAATATTTTTTGAAAGCAAGGTTGGTACTTAAAAATACTAAAGTGTCGATTAACTCAAGCGAGCGCTTCGCTGGGAATGGGCCGAAATACCGCAGAGCAATATTCGGGCAGCGTGTGACGGTTTCATTGGCCTTTGAAGGCCATAATTCATGCCAAAAGTGACAAATTCGAACAAATCTAAAGTTATGGGACTGAATTTGGAACGATATGTGTCTAGGGTTTATGTTTTCTTTTAGCACAATTTTAGGTTCCTGCTAATGTAAACTTGGTTCATTCTTAACCGCATAACGTTGTGTTGTTGGAACACATTTTTCCCATTTCAAGGAATGGAGTTAAAGGAAGGTTTTTCCCAGAGTAGATTTTGAGTAAAACTCTCATCTAATGAAGGGTTAAAAAAGGGCTCTTTAAAAATTAATTCAAATACAGTGAAATATCTTTTTCAAAAGGAATTATCGGCATGGTCCAACGCATGTGTTCATGATGTAAGAAATTCTACTAACACCCTAATAGAAATGTAAAGACAAACAATATAAAATGGGAGTTCCCCGAAGGCTATTTCTTGAGAAAAGATTGCAATATTTGCAACACATGACGGTGGTAGATATGCTATCTTAGTATTTGGATACATATTCAAGAGTGTTCCAGAAGTTTTTCATAATCCTGAAGAACTATGGACCCAACAAACCTTTGAAGCCTTACTGAAAATTTTATATTGGGGAATTTAAAATATATTTTTATAAAAATTACATGTACTACGAATTTGGAATAGTTCTTTTGTTGGCATTCTCCTTTGCTCGATAATCCTCTTGCTAAAACTTGTTGCACAATAAAAGTTTTCTTTGCCGATCACTTGAGAAATTCTCAAAACAATTGCTAGCTGTGAGTTTGGATAATTTATGATATCAACAGAAAAAGTTAAACTTTCAACACATGTCCCAAATTCGAGTGCATTTATTTTGTTTTCTGTTTTCGAAGAAGAAGAAAACTGGGAAAAAGTTGCAAACCGGGCAGGCAGGCGAACAGGCATGCATGACATATTGCATTTAACCATCAAGAGGCCAATTTCCTGTGAAAATAATTTAAAATGACGTGCACAACCGTTGTTGTCGTTCGATGTTGCCTGGATGGCATCATACAATGGTAGTTTTTTCTTAACTTATATCAGCACACACATACATACAAACTCCATTTTTTCCCATAAATAAATAATAGCTTGTGTTGACTGCTTGTTATTGTTGTTAAAAACTGGAAACGATTGAATGGACAAACACTTAATAATAGATTCATTCTTTCAAAGGGTCAACGCAAATGTGGACATAGAATGGGATTGTGTTGGTGTTGTTGTGTTAGGGTTTCTTTTTTATTGAGAGGAAGTTATTACAAAAATTAAGCCATATTATAAAATATAATAATAAAAAATTGTTCAAAAAGTTTGTTGTTTTTTTTTTAATTTTTGTCACGAGCTTAAAAATCTTTGCTTAAGAAAATTTTTGTTTTTTTTTTTATTTTCACTGTATATAATGTTTTCTTTTTAATTTATATATAAAGTGCTGTAGTCTTATTAATTTTTATTCATCATCTTAATGTTGTCAATTTTCTTTTAACTTGTCTGGTTGCTTATTTTGTTTATTTGGAAAATTAAAAGTAATTTTAAATGTTCTTTATTAAGTAGTATTAAAAAATAACTTAATTAATTAGTAATTTGTATTTTTTTTTCCTCTTTGCCTTTGTTTTTGTTGTTGTTTGTTTGTTTTTGTTTGCATTTAACTCAAAAATAATGAATTAATTAATTAATTACCCATTAAACATAGCCGATGATGGATGATATTATTTGTTGTTTTGCTGGGCCACAGCATTGGGTGATTTATAAAAGTTCTGCACAAACTCAGATAGGCTGTAGACCGTGCCGGGACCTTTGCCGGGGCTCATGCATATGAAATCGCCAAGGGTATGGGCATTGCCTACAAATTAACATAAATTAGGGAGAGAGAGAGAGAGTGATAGGCATATTTAAATTTGTCAAATGAGTCTCAACCAGTGGTTGCTTGTACTACTCACTGCAAGATTGTATGGGCGGATAAGAGGGTGGTGGCTTTATCCAGCTACCGTCTGGCCTTCTCATATGCCTACGATCCGAGGAGAATTCCGCAAGATATGTTTCAGCAGGTATGACACGAAAGAATCTAATAAGAGAGAGAGAGAGAGAGATTGAAACCATTAAGACTATTTGATGATAATATTTGATGTTAACTTTACTCACCTGTGGTGTTCTGGTCTTAAAGCTAAATCGGAACGAAATGTCTCTGTCACATATTTGTGAAAATATGTGGGAAATGGTAGCGTTGTATCTAAATCGAATACCAAACACCTATTCGGACTTGGATTGTGCATGAAGAAGACATGATAGTCCTGAAAAGAAAACGAAAGAGTTATTATTACGATTTTAACAAAAAAAAAATTAAATAAATAAATTCTAAGGACGGAAGGGAAAACAATTTTGAACAAGTAAAAAAGTTCGGCCTGCCCGAATTGTTAATACCCTCTACCATTTGGAAGAAACTTGAAAAGATTAAAAAAAATCCGAAAATTACCACATAAATGAAAAACGTTGTATGGGGACTACACGAAGACGTGGATCTGCTTACGAAATTTTTTGTCATAGGCTGTAGTACCCATTACGAACTTTAAATACGAGATTTAACGATGATGCAAAAAATGTCGGAAATAGCATTGAATTTTATAATAAGTTTAGATTTGTTCGAATTGATCACATTTGGCACGAATTATGGCCTTCAAACGGCCAATGAAACCGTCACACGCTACCCGAAGGTTACTCTGCGGTCTGGGCCAAAGCCCATTCCCGGCGAAGCGCTTGCTTGAGGTGATCGACACTTTGATATTTTTTAGTGCCAACCTTGCTTTCCAAAATACTCCAGACACAATAGTCCAACGGATTGGTATCCGGAGATTTTGGCGGCCATTGTGTGGTGGAAATGAAGCGAGGACCCTCATTTTGTAATCATTCTTGGTGCTGAGTGCGATGATGCTGAGTCCTGTTGGAATGTCCAAAGTCTGCGGCCAAAATGTTTGCGTGCCCAAGGCTTTTATAGACCCTCCACATTATTTTCGCGATAATATTCGGCATTTATTCTGATGCCACGATCGATAACTACGAGCGGAGAGGTGTTATGGCGGCCCACACTATCACCATGGCCGGCGCTTGAGTTCTGGTGGCCAACCGAATGTGCAAATTTTCAGCTGACCTCTTTGGAGAAATCCAAATTAAGCAGTTCACCACTTTCGGCCAAGCGAAGCCACTCTTTAGCTCTTTTGATTCTATTTTCTTTCTTTTGCGGTGTAAGTTCTTGCACTTTTTGGAATTTCAATGGCTTTTCCCCGACCGTCACCTTATTTTCAATATTTTCCGAATGTAATATTGAGATATGTTTAGCTCACGAGTCATTTTTCGGTCACTGCGACGCGGGTTTCGATCAAGTCGCTTTTTTACTTTTCGAAGAAATTCTGCTGATGTTGCTGTTTTCTTCCGTCCACTTCCTTGACGTCGGAGTACGCTACCAGTATCACGGTAACGAGCGATGGTACGAGACACAAAAGATTTATTCACATTTAAATGCTGGAGAGCTCTAACGATAGCCACTTGGTGGTGGTTTTCCAGCCAAATATAAATAAATCACACTATCACGCTTGAATTCCGTCACGAATAACTTTTTTTTGGAAAATTCTCACCAAAATGCTTTTGTACGCTTGTAAACAATATAATGAGCTTTCACTGGAATAATTTTAACAGCTGTCGGACGAGTGGCTTAGAAATGACAGCAGACTGAAGTTGGTTGCAGTTTTTTCATGTCACCCTTCGAAAAAATTCGACTCAGATGTTTTTGGAGGAGTTTCCCTGTGGAGACCTTCGGGGCTTTTTCTATAAATATTTGTAGACCTTTTACAAAATGTTAGGTCTCATAGGTAAAAAATTAATCCTACCCTGGAATTTGTTAGAAATTGTCGACGAAGGGTTCCACTGCTTTTTGTAACTTAACCTAAGCCTTTTCCCCCAGAGGCAACACATACTAGAATATTCTAAGTACAGCAAATGCTGTCCAAAACCATTATTGTAAATGTTTGAAAGTTTAAATTTCCCCTGTCATTAAATCTCCCACCTCCACCCCTCCCTCTACACACCTTGGAGCGCTTCGCGATTTGTCATCAGTGTAAGTTTCGACATGACCATTGATGGCTGTCACTTCAATTAAATAGTGTCGCAGAACTTAAGTGCCTCTGTTTTGTTGGAAAAACACCTGTGACCGAGCGGAGGCAAGGCAGAGGTAGGCCGTGGGTGAGGGCAGTGATGGTGACATGAAAATCCAGTGTTGTCTACATACCGGACATGTGGCGCATTTGTGGCTGTGGTAATGGTGAAACGGGGTGGCCATTGTGGACACGCATGGGCCACCACCACCACGAACAACAACAATAATGGCGGCATACATGTGAGCAAGGACTTCGGCTCTTTTCTGTTTGTTGTTTTTGCTGTTTCTTTGCTAAAACAATGCGTGTTAATTGCGCTTTTTTTCGTTGTAAATGCGTTGGTCATATTTACATTGTTGTTGCTGGTCATGCATAAAGTTTTTAAGCCACTGCCGGGGGCCCCAGCTCCTTCGACGGCCGTCCGCTGTTATTCGCCATAACAAATAAACAAACAAACAAAACAAAACGAGAAAAAAGAACGACAGAAACACATAACAAGTGTGCGTGTTTGCGAACATTATTACAGGTTCCCTGAGCCCTGGAGGGTCCTTTCGAGCATGTCCCTCGAGGGGGTACTCACACGAAACGAAATGAAATGTAGTAAATAATTTTTAGTTAAGTAAAAGCTCAGCGGCAGCAGCAGCAGTAAAACATTAGAACAATGAGTAAAATTATCATAAATAAAATACAAAAACAGTAGCAGCAACAACAACAACGTCGACAACGTAAAATGCAGATTTGAATGTAAAACGAAATTAAAAAAAAAACAAAATGAATTCACTTGGGCCCCAACGGCAACACAGTGGTGCCAGACGACTACGGCGACAATGGTGGATGGTGCCTTGTGCATGTCCCTGACTGGACGTGAGGGAGTAAAAGGGATTAGTTTCAAGGGGAAAGGAGAGGGAGACAAAGCTGAAAAAAAAAACACAAAAACGCAACACTTACCCATATCACAACTTGGTCATCGCCACGTCCTGCTTTCTGGCGCCACAGCGGTACAGTGCGACCCTCATTTGATACAAACACGGCATAGCATTTCGAGAGTTCATCGATACGTGTTTTCTTCACTTGTTCGCAAAGCTTCCAAACGTTCTCTTCGCTGCAATGGAATTGAGAAGAAGAAAAAAAGGAAGGAGATGAAGAAAACGGAAGAGTATGAGAACACGAAAAAATGAAATATTATTGTAGAATAGCAGCAGCAAAAAAAAAAAAAAACGTAGAAAATCCACTGACTAAGACTAAGAGTTGCAAACCATAACGCTTGCACACACACACACACATACCCACTTCTCAAGCCAATGCACAAAAGTAACAACTGAAATGCATTTTTTGTGTTCGAGCGTTGTGGAACTATGAAGCAGAAACAGATCCATGTTCCATTTTATATATGTAGGTATGTAGCAGCACGTACATATTTATGTGTAAATGAAAAAATATATATATATATATATATTTTTCTTGAATTTATTTATTATAATTACAACAAACAGGGACAATGGCAAAATCGTGCCGGAATAGAAAAATGTTTTAGAATTTTAAATCAAATATGAATTTCAAATTTGAAAGTAATTTCACTGAGAAAGGTTTTTATTTAGAGAACCATGACACGAATATTGGATAATGTGGTGAAAATGCATAATTTTTTGAGAGTAACTACCAACGGATAGAAGGCGCCAATGGATACAAAAAATAAATAAATAAAAATTAAATGAAATAAAATGGCAAATGAAGGAATTGGTAATGGTATTGTAAATTATTTTTAATATTCAACTGGCTCGGAATGGTTATACCATAATTTCAGCTAAAAATTCAAACAAATGACTAGTGAATAAGGGAATTATTCTAAATTCTACTTTCTTATATAGTTTTGAACTAATAAACATTGGTCGTGGTTCTCTTTAAAGAATACTTCAATTTATGTACTCCTTCTAAGTCCTGATTTTATCCAAGGCGAGTTTACGGGCGGCAATTTTTGTAGTAAATTTTCGAAATCGCCTCTTGGATTTATACAAGGCCATTTTCTTTTTCATTATTGCTTTTTATGTCATTTTATTAATCACATTTTTGTATAAAAATAAAAACGTAAAATGAATTGCCAGAAAATTATCAGCAATTTTTTTTTTCATTTCCATTCCCCAACAAACAACTATTAGACATTCTAACTTCAAAATACTTCTATTGGTTCTGTCCAACATCTGTAACAGTTTAATAATAATTTCCTACCAGTATACGCTATTAATATCTCACTATTCATAGTTACAGCCACCTTCCTTGGAGGTGTTTGTCTTCTAAATAAAGCTCTTTATCCAAAGTGGTACCAGGTGGCGTATGATTTATACATCAACGTGAACAACAATACTCATACGCCAACTGGCGCTCTTTTCATGAAATGACACAAATTATTAAAGATTCTTGTGAGTGGGGATTTTAAAAATCGGATCTTGGATTTATGCAAGGCAAATTTATTTTTTTATTGCTTTTTATGTAATTTTTTTTAATCATATTTTTGTATAAAAAAATAAAAACGTAAAATGAATTGAAAGAAAATTACCAGCATTTTTTTCATTTCCATTTCCCAACAAACAACTATTTGACATTCTAACTTCAAAATACTATTATTGTTTCTGTCAACATCTTAAACAGTTCAATAATAATAATTTCCGACTAGTATACGCTATTAATATCTCACTATTCATAGTTACAGCCACTTTCCTTGGAGGTGTTTGACTTCTAAATAAAGCTCTTTATTCAAAGTAGTACCAGGTGGCGTATGATTCATACATCAACGTGAACAACAATACTCATACGCCAACTGGCGCTCTTTTCATGAAATGACACAAATTATTAAAGATTCTTGTGAGTGGGAGACAGAACACTTCATAACAAAAAGTTAAATGGAATCCGGCGGTATTGACGACATCTGCATAACCTCAGCATATGCTCTGTTATTTAAATATGTTTTGACTTGCGTTATTGAAACTGTTGCTGAGTGGTTCCGAAGGAGTGGGCCAATATTTTCCATTACGTATCTGACATAAGTAAGATAAAAATATCAAAACGTATCACATTTGGATTTTATATCAACTACAGGCTTCACTTTATAGGAGGTATTTGATAATATTTTGAAAAGTTCGTTTTGTGAGAGTTATAATTATTTAAAATTCTGACCCATTGTGGGGGAGGTACCGGAAGTAGTGGTCCGATATTTTCCATCTTCACAACACATCCTGCGTTAGTAGAAGCAATGGGATATACCGAGTTTGAAACTAATCTTATGCTCATTTCGCGTTTTATGTGCTTAATGGTTATTCCAAAATTTTGACCCCTTGTGGGGGAGGTACTAGAAGGAGTGGCCTGTTCAATCCGTTCTTCATCACAGACTTTGTGTTAGTGGAAATATTAAAATGTGCGAAATTTGAAGATAATCGGACTCTTAGTTCAAATGTTATAGACATTATAATTATTCAAAATGTTGACCCTTTGTGGGGGAGGTACGAGAAGGAGTGGACCGATATACTACATCTTCATACAATTTCTTGTGTTAGTGGAAATATTAAAATGTGCGAAATATGAAGATAATCGGACTCTTAGTTCAAATTTTATGGACATTATAATTATTCAAAATTTTGACCCTTGTGGGAGAGGTACCAGTAGTAGTTGCCCGATATATGCCATCTTCACACCAGATGTTGCTTAAAAAGAAGCATTGGAATGTGTGTGAAATTTGAAAAGAATCGGATGCTAATTTCGCATTTTACGAGATTCATAGTTATTAAAAATTTTGACCCGTTATGGGGGAGATACAAAAAGGACCATTCCGATATGTCCCCCCTTCACATCAGACCTTGGGTTAACAAAAATATTGGGATGTGTGAAATATGAAGACAATCGGATTCTCATTTCACATTTTGTAAGAGTTATAATTATTCAAAATTTTGACCCTTTGTGGGGGAGGTACTTGATGGAGTGGATCAATATTGACCCATTTAAAACCAGACCCTGCACTATTAAAAATATTGGGATATAAAAAGTTTGCACAAAATCGAATGATGCTTTCTCTTTCTGTGCAGTAAATTATTTTACTTTAAAATGTTGAAATTTTGTGGGGAGGTACCAGAATGAGTGGTCGATTTTGCCCATCTCCTAACTCGATCTAAGTTTGACCATAACATTACGATGTGCCAAGTTTGGATAAAATCGGATACTCCTTTCGAGAGTTAACGTGCGCAACAGCCAAACGGACAGACGGACGGGCGGACATCTCTAGATCGACTCCAATGTTGTGTCTAGAATGGTTGGTATTGAAAATGAGATATATCAGCTAACGTTTTCGTAAAGCCCCCATATAAGACTTCCTCCCGATATTCGGTATTTTGATGATTTTTGCCACATTTTATCACGAATTTGTCTAAAAATTGGTATTTGTAGTCCGTAATGGGTTCTCGCTCCGGTGGCAGAACATTGAGTATCTAGGTCCATGTTTTCCTATAGCGCACATATACCGTTACCCATCGATATTCGGTATTTAGATAGTCCTAGCCACAGTTACCCACGATTTTTTTTTTTTCAAATTTGGCATTTAAGACTCGCAATAGATAACAATCGTTGCAATATAAAGTTCTCTATATCGGTACTCGTTGTGGTTTGGCTTTTTTGATAGGTTTAACTGCATTATCCAAACGGTCTTAGGGTGCAAGTACATAGAAAGCTTGAAGTCATGGCTAGGCATATTAATGTCAAATTATAATGGAAAACGACGGCTGGATTTTAGTGCGGCTCTGTAATCCCTTTGTGAAATGTCACAAAATATGCCTAGCCATGAATTCAAGCTTCTTATGTACTTAGCCCTTTACTGGTATATGAAGTTTAAAGCGGAACATGCTTGGATTCAGATACTTATATGTACAAATGTTTCTTTTATCTAAAAGTGGAGAGTACGAAAAATTTCGGCCCGGCCGAACTTAATGTTTTTTTTACTTGTTCATTCTTGTTCGATCCTTGTATTTCAAGAATCCGTTGGTGCACAACGTTATATCCTACGGATTTTGGGTTACTTTTTAAAAATGTTTATCAGCATAGATATTTTAAAAACTTTTTTGGGCATGAGTTGTTGGACGAGATGTAATAATTGCTCTACTCCAGAACCTGCAAGAACCTACGAGTTTTTCAATTTTTTTTCGATATAAGAAAGACAAAGTCTGTTATAATAATAAAAACGTTTACATTATTGCAATTCTGGAACAGAGCTAATATGACATTATTTTATCCATTAAAGGGGTATATTTTTATCACTTTCTATTTTCAGGGGTTTATGTTTTGTAAGTACTAACCAAGTTTGTAAATCTTATATAATTCCATGGTAGAATTAAGAATGTAACATATTTTTAAAGAAAGATATCTAAGTTATCAACTTTCGTTCTATGAAAATGTGATATGAAAATTTTTATAAAGAAAATAATTTTCATTTCATGTTTCCATGGAACAAATATCCAGCTCTGCATTTTTTTTATAATTTACCTTGCCAAATTTAACATCCTAAAAAAAGGTTCCCATCTCCAATTCGTTATAATTCAAAAATAAATATGAATAAGCATTTATCTCGTCAATACTCTAGTCTTGTAACCATGAATACCTTACACAATATCGTTAAACATTTCGAAAAAATTAAATAACAGCATTGAATCAATTCTACTTAAATGTGTACAATATTGAAACATCACCACTACCACCTCAGCTTCCTATTAATATTTTTGTAATTTTATCCATAATTTTCAAATTGATATCCAGTCAATTCATAAATACAAATACAAAAGCTGTTGTTCGTCTTATCAATTCCATCGAATATTTGTTGTGTCACAATGATGTTTTTTTCCTTTGTTTATTTGAAAATGGATTGAATGGAATTTTGATTGACATTGAATTGGATGAGCTTGTCTCACAAGAACAATGATACTTTGGAAATTATTGTTTTTTTGTTGTTGTAAATATATAAATGTATACGTATATGTAATATAATATATTAAAGTACAATATTTTGTACAAAAACAAAAGAAAATGATTCCGTTTAGGTTTGTCATAAGAAGCTTTTTGTGATGCTCC